GGGCCCGAGGACAAGCCCATGAAAAGCCGCGACAAGCCCGGAGAAATTTGGCAAGGTGGGCTCCGACTCCTTAGGAGTGAGGTTTGAGGCTTAGAGGATGCGGCAAAGGACCTGAGGACACGCCCAATCCGAGCCCAGAGTCACGGTGGCGTATATGGTATATTCTGTGTGGAGCAATTCATGTCTGTTCGCAGTGAGTTGTCAACTCTACTGCTCGCGCAATCATCCCACCCGCCCGCCCGCAACTTGGCTTGCATGAGCCCATGCGGCCGCGATTGCGATGAGTACTTGGTCTTGGCTGGTGCATCTCTGCGGCCGCGCTAGCCCGCGCATGCTCCCGCGCACAGCGGTCAGCTCGTTTGGCGCGACCGACGCGGCCGCGGTGGCGCTGAGCTCGGGACACTTCCCAGCGGGCACTTCAGTGCGAGTGGGCCACTTGGGCGTCCGCGGTATCATTGCAACGCCGACAACGGTAGACGCGAAGATGATAGTTGCGATGCTGGTGACGAGGATAACAACGACGACGGCACAGCCAATGACGGTGCCGACGGTTCGGGCGTCTTCGCGTCGTTGGTGAGAGTTTTTTGAATGTGTTCGACATGCGCGCGCGGCCGACGCGCGAGAGTGACCCGCGTGGTGTTATTTGCACGGATCGTGCCCCCCCCAGCACGCGCGCAAGGGCGTTCGAATGACTTCCATCTGCGGCGCGAAGGGCCCGTTCGGCGAAATTCTGTAAATATATAAAAGCAAGAACGCGAGCCGAGTTCTATGGTAAACGATGTTGCACACCCACATTACATGTATGTATGTATGTATGTATGTATGTATGTATGTATGTATGCATAAGTATACGTATACGTATTTGTATATGTATGTGTATATGTATATGTAAATGTAAATGTAACTGTACATGTCTATGTGTATGTGCATGTCTATGTATATGTATATGTATATGTATATGCATATGCATATGCATATGTATATGTATATGTATATGTAGATGTAAATGTATATGTATATGTATATGTATATGCATATGTACATGTATATGTATGTGTATATGTGCATATGTATGTATATGTATATGTATATGTATATGTATATGCATATGTATATGTATATGTATATGTATGTATATATATATACATTTATATCAAGGCACTCGATTTTGGAATTCGTATGCAACCAACCGTTGCGTTTGTTCAACAATTTCGGCATTCGCGCACGTCGACGCGCGCGCGCGCCGGCACCCCGCCCAGTTTTTGCCACGGTGTCTTGCGACAACACGCGAACAGGGGCGTTTGAATGATTTCGACATGCGCGCGAGAGGCCAACTTGGTAGCATGTCATGAGCATGTTCGAACATACCATTGATGCTTTTCCGTATAATCTCATCAGCGCGAATACATTTGTTGTTCGCTTTGGTAGCGGATCCATTTTGTTGTTCGTTTTGGGGGGCTTGATTCCCATTTGTTTCCGACGTAGGTTTTCCAAGGATTTTGGCATGCGCGCGCGACGGCACGCGCGTGTGCATTTCGTCCCGTTTGTTTCAAGGGGTTGTACACGAGTGATTTTTTATAGACGGGTGCGCGCGCATAGTATCCTTTGCACAGGATGAGGGGGGGACCGTTACCAGTTTGGCTGGGGTGATATGTGTTCACAGTTCGGATGGGCGGTGGGGCAGAGTCGTATGTAAGTTTCAATGCGAAAAAAGCTGCGGTTCAAACCGGGCGGGGTTAGATTCGAATGCTCCTTTCGAAAAGAGAATATACCCGGCGCAAGCTATGATCAGCTGTTTATTTTGTGCCATCTATTTTGTGCAATCTCCAATGTTCAATTTGTGTTGGGTAATCCACGAGGCAGCGACGGGGCGGCGACGGTGGTAACTTAGCCGCTAGACCGTCAGACAGGCCCAGACGAGGGGCGGCGACGAGGCGGCGACGGAACGGCGACGGCGGCAACATAGCTGCCAGACCCGCAGGAAGGCCCAGACGACGGGCGGTGACGAGGCGGCGACGGGGCGGCGATTGCGGTAACATAGCCGCCAGACGGGCAGGCAGGCCCAGACAACGGGCGGCAACGAGGCGGTGACGGAGCGGCGACTGCGGCAACAAGCCGCCAGACCTGCAGACAGGCCCAGTTCTGTAGAGCAGAAGCAAGAACTCATAAGTGCAAGCAGTGTTTGTGGAATAATTTGTGTCTTACCGCACGCGTTAGCCAGTGTTCGAAGCTCATATGAAGTCCATCTATACTATGAGACTTCCTCAGGCAGGACTAAACTGAACAGGGTGTCGAGCTGCGGTGACCCTGACACCGCAGCTCGAGGTTGAAGATGTATAGTTTTCGCTTTGCGCACTCGCCTCCGCTGGAGTATCAAATACATAAGTCGAGGTCGTATGAGCCAGGGTATTCCACTGCTACTGCACGCTTGGATGCTCAATCAGCGCTTTGCGGTAGCTCCTTCCCTCCAGCTGCCCTTCTCGCTCCTCCTTTCTCTTGCCACCCCGTCATCTTCTTCTGCTCCTGTTCCTCCCTTGGCCTGCTCTGAAGGCCGCCCTCCAGAAGACCGAGCAGAAGGTCTCTGCGCCCCAGATGGTCTTGAACCTTGTGGCCGGTGGCCTCGGTCTCCGCCTCAGCGTCCCTGGCGTCGAGGAGGAGGAGGAGGGCGTTGATGAGAGGGAGGAGGAGCACAGCACATCTTGGTCAGAGTCGTGGGTCTCCGCCTCAGTTTTCTTCGCGTCGTTCGGCGAGCGGGGTGAGCAGGGGGGGTCCTTCTCCTTTCCTCTCTTCCTCCTTCCCGCCGTCTTCCCCTCTTGTGCCTGCTTACTTGCCTTATTCTGAAACGTCATTTTAAGTCCAGAAGCGCGCGCATTCAGTTCTGTCTCGAGGCGATTCTGCGTTACATCAACACTTGCGTTCATCTCTATACCGTTCACCATGCAACACAAGTATCGCCTGACATCATGGGTGCCCCCATTCATTATGTCCAAGTTGTTGTGAGTTCAGTAACCAGGGCATGCACAGAGTTGTCTTAGCACATGTATCAGCGAAAGTGTCTCAATGCTTTCTATCTGGGTGTCTCGTTTGTGCCTTCAGCCAGCGTGAACTCAGGATGGCACTCTTTTCTAATGCCGTGCTGTTCGCTCATCAGCTGTTCTTACTTCGTGCATTTGTTGAGACCGAATGCCAAATGGGGGAGGTATGTGTGTGTGTGCAGGAGGCAATGGGTCACAACTGCCATGCCGTCTACCCACGGTTGCGCATACATATATGTGTATATATTTTGTTTATAAATATATTTTATATACATTGTCATCATTCACAGTGTCGGTCTCCGTATCCGCTCACGTCGCAAACGAATCACTGTTACTCAGGTGGCGGTAACCTCTTGCCTCTCTCCTCCACATCGTCGCTGTCCTCGTCCCCCGCCGCGATTTAGACTCTCGAGAAGCTCAGGTTCTGGTATATTTAGCCTTCCGTGGAGCACTGCCGGCGCGTCGCTGATCCCGTCGGTGGCGATCGTCGCTGGGGTCTTGCTCGTCAACGGCCAGCCCCGGGACATGGACAAACACTCGATTGAGCCCCGCGTCCGAGGGGACGTGGTCTGAAGTTGTTTCGTGGTTGCTTGCGGTTTCTGGCCTCGTTCTGCCCCTCTCCTTACCCGTGTGCGTCACCCTTTTTACTCCTCACCTTCCCTCTTGCCCCTACAGGGTCGGGCATGGAGGAACCAAGGGGGCCCGAGGGCACCGGCCAGCGGACAGACCTGCCCGCGGCTGGGCGGGGCGGGGCCAGAGGAGCTCGGTCGACCGGGCCTGCGCATGGTCGAGAGGGCAGAGCACGGGGGGCCGCAGAGGGCCGGGTCCTCCTCCTCCTCCGTCCTCCGTCCTCCTCCTCCCTCTCCTCCTCCCTCCTCCCTCCTCCTCCTCCTCCTCTTCCTCCTCCATCTCCTCCTCCCCCTCCCCCTCCTTCTCCTCCTCCTCCTCCAACTCCTCCCTCTCCTCCTCCTCCTCCTCCTCCTCCTCCTTCTCCTCCTCCTCCTCCTCCTCCTCCTCCTCGGGTCGCCTACGGCCCCGCGAGAAACCGCGCCCCCCCCGCCCCCCCCGTGATGTCTGTTCCACCCCCACGTTCAGCTCTTGCACGCTCGACGGGCGAGGGGGTCCCTTGCGATCCACGCAGGGGGGAGGGAAGGAGGAGGCGGCTCGGGACCAGGAGAAGGATGACGAGGGACGAGGAGGAGAGGAGGAGGAGGAGGAGGAGGAGGAGGAGGAGGAGGAGGAGGAGGAGGAGGAGGATGAGGAGTAGGAGGAGGAGGGACAAACAGCAGGACGAACCCCTAAAAAGATATTAACCTGGGTTTATAATATTCTGGGATTGTTGACTAGGGTTCACAATGTCCCCCCCGGAACATTATGAACCTGGGGTGTAAAGTTCTGGGACATATTGATTGGGGTTCATAATGTTCCCCCGGCACATTATAAATCTTGGTTTATAATGATAAGGTTTCGGGAATATCTGCCCCAAAAAGATATTAACCTGGGTTAAGAGAATGTCCTGGGAATATTGACTGGGCATAACACTGTCTCGGGCACAATGACCCCGGACTCATTTTTTTTGGAATGATAATAATGGAGGCTGAGGGGCGTAGCCTGAGCCATAGGCGGATATTCGGAATCCGGATTCATGATATTGGAATGATTCTAATTATTATTTCCCCAAACCCCGCGCCTCCAAGTTAGGATTCATTATGTTAGAATATTGACCCTAGTCCGTTACACCTATACGACCACCCTTCGGGTGGTAAGGAGTCTCGGGGGGGGGGGAGGAACCAACGTCTCATTCGATCGGTCTCACTATCGATCTCACTATCGATCTCACTATCGGTCTCGCTCGATCGATCTCACTCGATCGATCTCACAATCGATCTCACTCGATCTATTTCATTCGATCGATCTCACAATCGATCTGACTATCGATCTCACTATCGATTTTACTATCGATCTCACAATCGATCTCACATTCGGTCTCACTATCGATCTCACTATCGCTATCACAATCGATCTCACAATCAACGTCATCATCAGCATCATCGTCATCAGTGTCATCAACATCATCATCATCATCGGGACATCATCATCACCTCATCATCAACATCATCATCATCACCAGCATTATCATCATCGGGTTACCATCATCGTCACCATCATCATCATCAACATCATCATCTGGACACCAATATCATCATCATCATCATCATCATCATCATCGGGACACCACCATCATCATCATCATCATCATCTCATCATCATCATCATCCTGAACAACATCATCAGCATCATCATCATTTGGACATCATGATCAGCAGCAACATCATCATCAACATCATCATCATCATCGGGACACCATCATCTTCGTCACCATCATCATCACCATCATCATCATCATCCGGACACCATCAACATCATAAACATCCGCATCATCATCATCACCGTCATCGGGCCACCATCATCAGAATCACCATTATCACATCATCATCCTCATCATCATCATCACCATAATCAGCAACAACACTATCATCGTCATCATCATCAACATCATCATCATCATCATCATCGGGACACCATCATCACCAGCATCAACAGCACCATCATCAACCTCATCATCACCATTATCATCGGGACACCATCATCATCCATCATCATCATCATCAGCAGCATCATCTTCATCATCATCAGCATCTCATCATCATCTCATGATCATCAACATCAGAAGGATCATCAACATCATGATCATCATCATCATCATCATCGTGGCACCATCATCATCAGCAACATAATTATCATCAAAATCAGCATCATCGGGACACCATCATCATCACCACCATCCCTTCATCATCACCATCATCAACATCGTCAACATCATCATCATCGTCATCATCATCATCATCATCATCATCATCATCATCATCGGGACACCATCGTCATCACCACCACCACCATCATCATCATCATCATCATCAACATCATCGACATCATTATCACCGTCATCATCGGGACACCGACGGGACACCGGCGGGACACTGGCGGGACACCGCGCGCCACCGGACGCCGGAAGGGAATTATTTGGTCCGGCCGCGCTTCAGCCACAGCGGGACAGCGGGACACTGGCGGGACACCGCGTCACCGGACGCCGGAAGGGATTCATTTGGTCCGGCCGCGCCTCAGCCACAGGAGACTTTCTTCTCGCCCGCCCACGCAGTTTCGCCTCGCTCGCACGCACGGCACGCACGAACAGGAAGCCGAAACCGATTTCCTGGTAGAGGGGGTTCTCCGTTCCATTTCGATCTCACCCCCTCACCTCCGATCTCGAACATCATACATTAGTGTTCGTAATATTCTGGGGATGGTAAGCTCAGGTTTCTTATTTCGGAATGATAATGATTCGGCGGAGGGGGGTGCGTCTGAGAAGGAGTTTGGACTGGGATCCACCCTGTTTCATGATGTCGGAATGTCGACCCCAGATGCATTATTCCGGACTGAAGTATCCGGCGATGGGCGGGAGAACCGATCCATCCACAGGACAATAATCCAATTGGGGGTATCATCTGCACATATTGAGCCTAGGTTTATCCTAGAACATAAACCACGGTTGACGAGGATTTCGCGCTCACCCTCACAAGCAGCCAGGGGGGCGAGGCGTTCCATTCACTTTGCTTATTGAGTACACGCTTTCGGTCCACATTCGACCCTGCTATCCTCAGAGGAATGAGCCGACCTTGAGAATGAGAGTTGCATAGGTCCCTCCAGTCTCTATGTCTTTGCCTGATTCGTACCAGTTTTCTGGTGTCCTGCTGCTTCGTCTTCCCTGTCATCCTCGTACCGCTATTCTGCCAGTGTATAGTTGATTCTCCATTGGCAGGTTGGACCATCATGATATTGGTCGAGGCTGCAGAGGCCGTTGGATTCCTCGCCGTCAGACCTTTCTAACAGGGGAGAAGCACGGGGGTGAGAAGGGAGGGGAAGGAGGTCTGTTCAAAGCTAAAGTACGCTGAGCTTTCCACTGTCGATGCCAGCAGTAGCACACAGTGACAGAGCACGTGGCAGAGGGGAGGAGGAGGAGGAGGAGGATGAGGAGGAGGAGGAGGAGGAGGAGGAGGAGGAGGAGGAGGAGGAGGAGGAGGAGGAGGAGGAGGAGAGGAGGAGGAGGAGGAGGGGGGAGAGCGAGCCAGAGAGAGGGTGTGGCCAACCCAAGAATTGATTATGCCTTGGCTTCTCCTTTCCTCTAACCATGCCCCTTTTCCCTGTCCATGCCTCCTCTTCTGCCGCTGCCTCCCTCTCCTGACCCCCCCCCTCTCTCCTTCCCTCCCTCCCCCTCCTTTCCCATCAGTCTCTCCCCTCTCACCTCTCGGTTGGAGGACGAACAAGGGAAGGACTGTTGGCGTAAGACCTGTGTAGCTGTTCGATGTAGGGGGATTTACGTAACAGAGACTAATTCAAGTTTCCGTCGATGGCCTCGTAGTGTCGGTCGAATGTTTAGAGCTGTTTCAAACATCCTTGCTCAATTCCTACTTTAGAGTTGGTTTCGATGTCGCACCCCGAAGTTCTTGAGCACGACACTCGGGTTTTCGCAGCGTGCTGGAGTCATGCGCAGGGCTCGCAAAGTCACGGCTGCTCCTTCGAAGGTCGAGAGGCCACTAACACGGTCGCCTCCGTTCCCACAGCGATTTCCTTAGACAGTTGTTTGCCAACTGTCTACCGAAATTGTTGACGCTTCGCGTATCCCCACCAGCCCATCCAGAAACGATGCTCAGGGGAGTTGAGGTGATCAGGGAAGTCGGGGAGCATGCAGAATAACAAAGGGCGGGGGAAGCTGTCACAGACCCCGAGAGGGGGAGGATGGAAGAGGAGTCGTCGTCGTCGTCGTCGTCGGAGGAGGAGGAGGAGGAGGAGGAGGGGGAAGAGGAGGAGGAGGAGGAGGAGGAGGAGGACGGAGAAGGAGGAAGAATCGGAGGAGGAGGAGGAGGAGGGGAAGGAGCTTCTTGGGGGTCTTTTGAGGGCCTCTTGGAGGGCTTTTTGGGCGCCTTGGGGCATCTTGGGCGCCTCTTGGGACCCTCTTGAGGCGCTCTGGGGAGCCTTCGGGGCGCTTTTGGGGCCATCTTGGAGGGAGTCGATCAAACAAGAGGGGGGGTTTAATTAGCGTCCCCCCTCGGAAGCCCCTAAAATCGCCTCTTGGACCCCTCTTGGAACGCTCTTGGAGTGCTCTTGGGCGCTCTTGGGGCCGTCTTGGGGCTCTTTTGGGGCTCTCTTGGGGCCCTCTTGGGCCATCTTGGAGCCATCTCCAGGCCTCGGATAGCCATCGGAAGCGAAAAGGCGAGAAAGCAAAAATCATTGATTTTCCTTAGGTTTTGGGACGATTTTGGCCTCTTCGGGGCCTCCTTGGGGAGCTGTTTGGCCACTTGGAGTTATCTTGGGGCCGTCTTTGGGCTTCTTGGAACCATCTTAGGAGCCATCGTGAGCGATCTTGCGCTATCTTGAGCCATCTTGGAGCTCATCTTGGGTTCTCTGAGGCGCTCTTGGAGCCGTCTTGGGCCATCTTGGACGCTCTAACTACCCGCGGCCCCCCCCGTCCAGGTCCAGGGGAGGGGGTAGGGGGAGGGGTAAACCCCTCCCCAAGGGGGAAGAGGGAGGGGTGGAAGAGGATCTGCTCTAGACCACCTACGCCCAGAGGGCTGGTGGGACTCGTGTTTGACGCACATGGCGCATCTGGAGAGTCCTCGGCGAAGCGCGGGTGTCAGAGCAAGCTTCGAGGCCCAGAAACATTGACGCACGTGTTGCACCGACGGCCGCGCCGGCCTGGTTCAGCCACGCACAGAGGGGGGTTGGAAGAGGGGGGAGGGCTTTTTAGAAGCACCCCTGCTTCTCAGAAGGCGCATGCCGTATCTATAGATGTGAGGCCGGCGCCTCCTGGGAAGCAGCCTCCTTCCAAGAAGACTTCCCCCCCTCCGTCAAGCCCCCTGTGCGCGCCGCCGACGAGCCCTTCTTCCGGGAAGCCAAAAGGTACCGATACCGCTACTCCCCAGACCTCTCCTGGGGTGCGTTCTGACCAGGATTCCGAGGCAAGTCCAGCGCTGAGGGCCTCCGAGGAGGCCCAAAAGGGTGGAAACGGGCGAAGGTTAGAGACGGGTACCTCCTCCTCCTCTTCCTCCTCCTCCTCGTCCTCGTCCTCGTCCTCGTCCTCCTCCTCCTCCTTCTCGTCCTGCTCCTCCTCCTTCGGATCTTTCGGATGTCGACTCTAAATCCTCCGCAAAGGATGTAGCCGTCGAGGGGGGGGGCCACCTCCTCCCCCCCTCTCAGAAGAGGTACTCCCTGTGGGAGCCGAACACGATGGTCTTGCCCCCCTCGGTGGCCGCCAGCCTCCTCCACCTAAGGAGGGCGGCACGCTCACCACACGAGGGGGCGACGGCGATGATGAACTCGCCGTTCAGGTGGGCGCCCTCCAGGACGAGGAGATGGTTGTGCTGGGAGGCGCCGTGGGCGCCAGTGCGGTTGAAGAAGCCCTGCTGGTGCCCGATGCTCTGCTGTTGCCCGTTGGTGCGCTGCTGGTTCCCGTAGGTGTGCTGCTGGTTCCCGTAGGCGTGCTGCTGGTTCCCGTCGGAGCGGGGCGGAGGCTTGGCCGCCAGGTGGGCCGTCCTCCTTCTGGTCTGGGCGGGTCGTCGTAGGGCCTACCCCCTCGCCCTGCTGGGGTGTCGTAGGGCCTACCCCCTCGCCCTGCAGGGGTGTCGCGGTTCTCGGTGTAATTACGTGGTCTCGCCGTCGTACTCGCTGTCCGTGGCGTTGCTCTCTGTGTTGTTCTGGCTCGCTGGGTCGTTGTCGTCGAGTCGGCCGTCGGAGTCCTCCCCGTGAGAGTGGTCCTGGGGCCGCTCGAGGTGGCCGGCCCAACCGGTCGTGGCACATCTCTAGGGCCCTTTCGAAGTCCGCGTTGCTTGTCCCAGCCGTCGTTGCGATGACCAGCTCGCAGCCTACGCACGGGTGACTGTTCAGCTTCAGGGTCACCCCTGTATGTTCTTGCACGAAGTTTAGGAACTGCCTGTCGTCACCGCTGATATGGTGTTCCCAAGGGAAGTTGTCATCATAGCCCTCGATGGGTATTGATATGGTGTGCTCTCGCACGGCCCGAAGCAAGTCCTCTTCCACTGCCGTCTCTTCTCGCACAGCGCCTGTAACGGATGGCGTAGTGATGTTGCCGCTCTTGCCCGCTGCCACTGCCGCTGCCGTGCCCCTCGCTTCACATTTGCCCTGACCCCTGAATCGTAGATGATCACATCGGGCTCTATCTTCGCCTTCCTTCGTCTCGCACGTGTTGGCTGGGTCCTCGGCTAGGTTATTGGTGAGGGGCTCCATCCTCACCGCCTGCTTCTCACAATTTTGTGTTTGCGATGGCGTCTGGGCTCTGTCCTCCAGATGGCCTGTGTCATCGCCCTCCAGCTTCGCTGGCGCTGGTGCTGGCGCCACATCACGCGCACGGGCGGCCGCGCCTGCAGCTGATGACGACTGTACTCCGTTCCTAGCGCCAATTCCCGAGGTCGCCTCAAGCTTGCCCTGATCCCTGAACCGTAGATGATCGCGTCGGGCTCTATCTTCGCCTTCCTTTCTCTCGCGCATGGCTGAGTCCACTTGGAGTGTTGACTCTTGACCGCTGCTGCCACTGCCGTTGCTTCCGTGATTCTGGACTCTGGACTGCTGCTGCCACTGCCGTCCCCTGCCATTGTTTCTTGATTCTTGACCGCTGCTGCCACTGCCGTTGCTTCCGCCAGCTGCCTGGGGCGACGCCCCCCCTTTCCCGCAGGGGTCGTCCGCTTCGGCGCTGTAGCTGATGTCGTCTGGCATCCAGCGCTGTCCCCAAAAAGGCTCATGATGCGCTTGTTGCCACCACCGGTGCCACGCTCGCAATTGGCACTGCAGATCGGAGATGAGTTGACGTTGAGACTGCAATTGATGGCTCGCTGCCCGCTGCGTCGCCACCTGGCGCGCTTTCCGCGCGAGGCGGACCTGTTGGGCCCAGGGGTTCTTCTGCTGTTGCTGCTGCTGCTTCACAGGCTCCACGCTCTGCGTGCCGAGCGAGGCACCATGAGCGTCCTGCCAGGGCCGTGCCACATGACGAGGCTCCATCGCGGCGCGGTCGGCAGGACCTGCGAACGCACGCGCGCGCCTGGGGCCTGCCCGCGAAGCCGCCAGCCCTGTGGCCCCGGAGGGCCGCAGGAGGGCGGCGGCGGTTCGGGCCCCCGATGGCCCTTCTCCTCCTCCTCCTCCTCCTCCTCCTCCTCCTCCTCCTCCTCCTCCTCCTCCTCCTCCTCTCCCCCTCCCCCTTCCTCCTCCTCCTCCTCCTCCTCCTCCTCCTCCTCCTCCTCCTCCTCCTCTCCTCCCTCCTCCTCCTCCTCCTCCTCCTCCTCCTCCTCCTCCTCCTCCTCCTCCTCCTCCTCCTCCTCCTCCTCCTCCTCCTCCTCCTCCTCCTCCTCCCCCTCCCCCCCCGAACAGCGAAAGAACACCTTCGACCTCGGCGGGCTGCTCGCGCACCTGCCTGGCGCGGCTGGCCCGGTCATGCAGTGGCTGTGCAACGGGCTCGTTTGGCTGTCAGGGTGCCCCCCCCTGGCGGCAGGAGGCACGGCGACCAGGAGGAGGAGGAGGAGGAGGAGGAGGAGGAGGAGGAGGAGGAGGAGGAGGAGGAGGAGGAGGAGGAGGAGGAGATGGGGATGGAGATGGGGATGGAGGGAGATGAGGAGGAGGAGGAGGAGGAGGAGGAGGAGGAGGAGGAGGAGGAGGAGGAGAAGCTCTACATCCCCCTCGCGGTGCTGCGCGGTCGCGTGGCAGACCCTGCCTTGTCGTCCAAGGACGAGGAGGAAGAGCCTGAGCAGTCTCGTGCTCGCAAGACCGGGGGCTTGTTCACACCCCTCCCCTGCTCCGCCGTCGCATGGTGTCGAAGGCCCCTCAGCTGTCGCACTGACAGTGGGTTTGGCTGTGGTAGTGTGGCCTTGTTGAGCGCAAGGAGGAGGAGGAGAGGAGGAGGAGGAGGAGGAGGAGGAGGACGAGGAGGAGGATGAGGAGGAGGAGGAGGAGGAGGAGGACGAGGAGGAGGAGGGGAGGCTCAGGAGGAGGAGGAGGAGGAGGAGGAGGAGGAGGAGGAGGAGGAGGAGGAGAGGAGGAGGAGGGAGGGAGGAGGAGGAGGAGGAGGAGAGGAGGAGGGAGGAGGAGGAGGATGAAGGAATCAGGAGAGGAGAGGAGGAGGAGGAGGAGGAGGAGAGGAGGAGAGGAGGAGGAGGAAGAGGAGGAGAGGCTCCGACGACCTCTCAGGAGAGGAGGAGGAGGAGGAGGACGAGGAGGAGGAGGAGGAGGAGGAGGAGGAGGAGGAGGACGAGGAGGGGGAGGAGGGGGAGGAGGAGGAGGAGGGAGGGGGAGAAGCAGCAGGAGGAGGAGGCGGAGGACGCGGTGGAACAGCAGGAGCAGAGGGAGGATGAGGCGGGGGAGCAGCAGTTCCCCGGGACTGCATTCATGCTCCATTTTGTCACTCATTTGGATGCGCCAGCTTTTTTGTGTTTCAACTCTAGGTAATGAACTGGTGAAACATAGGCTCCACCGCGCACACCCATTTTGTCTCATACATGGCACGTGTGTGTATATATACACACATATGTTTATACATATATATATATATATATCTATACATACACACATAGATATACACAACTTTGTACCGGCTCGAGGCGCTTCTCCTTTGCAATGTTGGTCGCATGGCGCTGTCGAGGTGCGCAGCGAGATCCATTGCCGCCATTTGGGAATTGGGGAATTGGGCGGCGCAGTCCCAGAGGTGTTAGAGGTGGCGGGCGCCACGGGTTTGGAAGGTTCTCCGAAGGCCCTAGTTCTCATGCAGGTCATATGGTCACATGTCTCATGGAGTTTGAATGGCATACGGGGCTCATCGGGCTTAACAGGAACGAAGAGCTGGGGTTCATGTTTCTGGGGTTGGGGCTGGAGCTGGGCTCGAGCTGGATCTGGGTCTTGAGCTGGAGCTGAGCTGGAACTGGAGCTGGAACTGTCGAGCTCATGCAAGTGCTGCTACAGCTCCCCGTCCTCCTCCTCCTCCTCCTCCTCCTCCTCCTCTGCCTCTTCCTCTCGGAGAGCACGAAGCGCTGGACTGTTGGATCGGAGCACAGCAGCTCTATCCTGGAGGAGGGCTCCTGACAATGCCGAATAAAAACGCACCCTCGTTGCAGGCCGCAGGGGGCGGTGGACCGCAGACGCCTGTGGCGAATCGCCGCCGCGCCCAGCCTTTGAGGATGCGCCTGTGTGGCCAAACGTTTTTGTGGGTAACTTTGGCCAAGATGTTGGACCGTGTGTTCCCCCAGCCGTTGTCGAAGCCCTTCGGGGAACACGTGGGGGAGGCGGAGGAGGAGGAGGAGGAGGAGGCGCCAGCCAGTCCAAAACATGGATCGGACGAAGGAACCCCGCCGGGTCAAAAACTGACAACTCGGTGCCGTCTTCGAGTCTCATCGTGGCCTTCAGAACCCTCTCGGGGTTTTCTTGTGTTTGGAGATTTTGGTCGCACTCTCGGAGTCCACCTGGGAGCATGTATGGCCGCCATGTTCGAGGCCATCGACCAACGACGCGGGGATTCTAAATTATCCGCTGCCTTTTCAGGGGGAGGTCGACAAGTCATCTCGAGGGGCCCTTTTCAGGCTACCTTCGGGTGCGGTGTTCCCTGGGCCTTCGGGACATTTTGGGCCTTCCTGATCCCCTGTTCGGGACCCTTGGAGGTCTCAGACGCCCATCGGAATCCGAAAGGGGACACAGTATTCAGAATGTTTGGCTGTTTGGTGATTTCGACATCGTGGGGAGATGTTGAGGAAGGCCCGGGGGTGAGCTCGAGCCACTCTGGGATCTTCTGGGGGGGCCTCGTGGGCAAAGCTACTATTCTTGGGGCTCTCGGCCCATCCCTCACCACGCCTGGATTGTAGGAGAGAGGCGTCTTGGATCCTTGGATGTTTAAAGGGGTGTGGTGTGAAGCCTCGCGGCAGTTTCTTAGGCGCAGACTTTTGATCTTTTTCCCAACCATCCTGTGGTGTTGGGTCCTCGTTTTGAAGAGACGGTGGCCCGCGTCTCCTCTCCTCCTCGCCTGCTCCCCCTCCTCCTTGCGTTTCACCCACCCAGCACAGCGTTTCGTAGCCCCATAGGGAGCTCCACCGAAGGCCCCAGTGGCAGGGTTCGCATGGCGGCCTCGGGCCATTTCGGCACACCCCCCCTCACGAGGATCGTGGCCCCATAGGGAGCTCCACCGAAGGCTGCACCATGGCCACGGGTTCGCATGGCGGCCTCGGGCCATTGGCACACCCCTCGACGAGGATCGTGGCCAAAATAGGGAGCTCCCCGAAGGCGCAGTGGCAGTGTTCCGGCATGGCGGCCTCGGGCCATTTCGTGTACACCCACGACGATCGTAGAAACCATAAGGGAGCTTCACCGAAGGCGAAAGACGGCAGGGTCCGCATGGCGGCCTCCTCGGGCCATTTCGTGCACACCTACACGGGATTCGTGGCCCCATACGAGCCTCCACCGAAGGCGCCAGTGGCAGGGTTCGCATGGCGGCCTCGGGCCATTTCGGCACACCCCTCACGACGCTCGTGGACCCATAAAGGGAGCTCCACCGAAGGCGCCAGTGGCAGGGTTCGCATGGCGGCCTCGGGCCATTTCGGCACACCCCTCACGAGGATCGTGGCCCCATAGGGAGCTCCACCGAAGGCCCTAGTGGCAGGGTTCGCATGGCGGCCTCGGGCCATGTCGGCACACCCCTCACGAGGATCCTGGCCCCATAGGGAGCTCCACCGACTGCCCCCAGTGGCAGGGTTCGCATGGCGGCCTCGGGCCATTTCGGCACACCCCTTTCGAGGATCGTGGCCCCATAGGGAGCTCCACCGAAGGCCCCCAGTGGCAGGGTTCGCATGGCGGCCTCGGGCCATTTCGGCACACCCCTCACGAGGATCGTGGTCCCATAGGGAGCTCCACCGAAGGCGCCAGTGGCAGCGTTCGCATGGCGGCCTCGGGCCATTTCGGCACACCACTCACGAGGATCGTGGCCCCATAGGGAGCTCCACCGAAGGCGCCAGTGGCAGGGTTCGCATGGCGGCCTCGGGCCATTTCGGCACACCCCTCACGAGGATCGTGGCCCCATAGGGAGCTCCACCGAAGGCGCCAGTGGCAGGGTTCGCATGGCGGCCTCGGGCCATTTCGGCACACCCTCACGACGATCGTAGACCCATAAGGGAGCTCCACCGAAGGCGCCAGTGGCAGGGTTTCGCATGGCGGCCTCGGTCAATTTCGGCACACCCCTCACGAGGATCGTGGCCCCATAGGGAGCTCCACCGAAGGCCCCAGTGGCAGGGTTCGCATGGCGGCCTCGGGCCATTTCGGCACACCCCTCACGACGATCGTAGACCCATAAGGGAGCTCCACCGAAGGCGCCAGTGGCAGGGTTCGCATGGCGGCCCCGGGCCATTTCGGCACACCCCTCACGAGGATCGTGGCCCCATAGTTGTGTTGCTTCAACAACAGCGCCTGGGCGTCGTACTCCGCCTTGTCGACGTGCAACGCCACCTTTTCCCTCATGGCTCTCAAGGCCCTTTCCTGCTTCTGCTCCTCGGTGAGAGGGACGCCGTCCTTGTCGTCGTCGGCGCCCGCGAAGACGGCCACGAACGTGTCCCTGAGCATGTCGGGCTCCGGCGGGAAGCCGTGGCCGCATAGGGAGCGCGGGCGAAGATGGTATTCACAACTGCGGTATTCACAACTGCATATGGTTGGGTCCTTCGCCAGGATAATTTTGATTCTTGTGGGGCCTTTTTTTGATTCTTGTTTGATCCTTCTTTTGATCCTTTTGATCTTGTTGATCTTTTTGGGCGCGGTCTCGGGACATTTTCTGATCCTCTTTGGGGCCTTCTGGGACTTCTTGCGGGCCTCTGGGGGACGTGCTGGCGGTCTCGGAGGTTTTCTTTGGGCCACCTTGGGGGCCTCTTGGGCCGCCTTGGTGCCATCTCTCGCAGGCCTAGATATTGACACCAACACCAATATCGGCGGTGTTGCATCCACCAGGGGAAGAAGATCCCGATCGCGGTGATGGTGGTAATATTCTGGCTTCCAAGGTGACCGACCTATTATCACCAACACCGAAATCTGGGATCATCTTCCCCCTGTGGAGGCAACCCCCTGTGTTGGTGTTGGTGCCCATTCCCAGCCCTCCGAATCTCAGGCAGCACCGCATGCAAAACATCGACAAGTTGTTGTTTGTTGCCGTGCTTTCGCGCCTGAGCAACGATGTTGGATCCCGTTTCTGGCGGCCCTGGTGTATTCCAAAGCTTTGTGGAAATCTTTTGGGGGATGTTTGAAGCACAGTCCTGGTTGACCCACAATGGATGTCCATCGAAACATGGGTGCCGCAATAGATTTGGGGCAACATATTTGTGGGGTTGCAGAAGATATGGGGCGTGCAATACAGTCTGGAACGCAGATGTATTGCTGGAATTTCAGGCGCAATACACTAGCTACAATACAATGCAATACATTTCTGCTGCGCAATACATTTACAATACAATTACACCATCTCTATTGCATCACCCCTTTTCAGCTGGACCCCCTTTTGGGTCGACCAAGTACTGGAACCACCCCGCCGCCATCTTTTGGTGGGCCGTCGATATGCGATTGCGCAGCTGTTCAGGACCTTTCTCTTAATACAGCGAGACGCCGGATGCTCAACACAGACTGTCAGTCTACGCTGAATGTCCTATTTCAGAGTGGTCCAGCGGGGCTGAGAGCACAGGGCGGACTGTGCTCCATGTCTTCCGGGCGGAGCTAGGACGAGGATAAGCCCGTTCCAGAGCGTTCTGGAACGCTCTCAGGGCGTTCCGTAACGTTCCGAGAAGGCCGCGGCGCCCGAGACATCCTCCAGAGCCGCCGGACCTCAGAGATTCTCGATTTATCCTCGCCCGATTTAATCCTCGCCCTGGCTTTGTCTTTGTCCCGTTCCAGGCTCTGGGGAGCCGCGAGATGCCTGGTGGCTTTGCGGCGGAAGTGGCGGCGTGGGTGCTACGCGCTGGTCCTGGGCCCATGGGAGGCGTGTGCTGGCCAGGTCTGCTGGCGTGGAAGAAGCGTCCTCCCACAGATGAAGTGCTGCGGCTCTCGAGAAGGAGCGCGGGCACGATGTGGCCAGGGTGTGTGAAGAGTGAGCGAGAGAAGTGTTGTGGTGTCTTTACATGATGCGTCAACCTGCCTTCGACCCTGTGAGTTGCTCTGCTGCGGGGCAAGTAGTGCGAAGGTACATGAGCCTTGTGAGCTACTTCATCATTATTGCTGACTCGATACTCCCGTTTGCAGCCAGTGCCAGCGTCTTGCAGGTATTCCTTTTCCCAGTAGCAAGAGGAGGCTTCGGTTGCACTCATGATTTTGGAGTGACATGAAGTTGTAGACGGAGAGGGAGGGACCCGAGGAGGATGAGGAGGAAAACGAGAAAGATAAAGAATGTGCCGAACTACTCATTGTGTTGTTTTCTCATCCTGGCTGGATTTGCTTCGGCGAGTCAGCCTAACCCACATGGGGCTGGACCTGCACTGTGAGCCATTCCAGCTGCCACGCAGTGTCGCTGTCCAGCTGGAAGTACTTTGCTGATTGCGCAGTGCGCTCGGTAGTTGGTGGTCTTGATTGTTGCCTTGCAGCTGCATGCTTGATCTGTGTGATACATGCTTAGAAGCTTTAATCCTATGGCCACCCGTGCCCGACCGTTATTGGGCTTTGGTGAGAGGAGTGTTTTCGCTAATGTTCGTGTCCAGTGAGGAATACATGCGCCTTCCGATCGAATGTGACCTCAGGCGGATTTCAGCTAGTCCTGCTCGCTTGGGGGGCGCGTAATGGGGGGGCGAGATAATTTTGGGGGGGCAGCGGGAGCCAAAGAAAGGGGCCCTCCAGGGCCCACAAAGGGGCCGCTCGGTAGTTGGTAGTCTTGATTGTTGCCTTGCAGCTGCATGCTTGATCTGTGTGATACATGCTTACAAGCTTTAATCCTATGGCCACCCGTGACCTTCAGACCCTGATTGGGCTTTAGTGAGAGGAGTGTTTTCGCTAACGTTCGTGTCCAGTGAGGATTACGTGCGCCTTCCGATCGAATGTGACCTCAGCCGGATTTCAGCTGGTCCTGCTCGCTTGGGGGGCGCGGAATGGGGGGGCGAGATAATTTTTTGGGGGGTCAGCGGGCGCCAACGAAATGGGCCCTCCAGGGCCCACCCCTGGGCCACTCCGGGCCCAGAGCCCAGATGGGGGCCCCTGGGGCCCGCAAAGGTCGCCTTTCCCACCCTCCTGCCATTCGTCGCCCCCCCCCATGAAAATTCGCGCCCACCTCGCTTGGCCCTGCGTGCTCTCATGCGTCTGTCCTTCGGCACGCAGTCAGCCCCCCTCCCCTGGAGAGCGCGCGGCCCGCGAGAACCGGGGCACTGTGGTCTGCCTCGTGGCCATCGCTGTGGTCCCGCTCAGCTTCATGAGCCAGCGGGACCTCCCTCCTCCTCCTCCTCCTCCTCCTCCTCTTCCTCCTCCTCCTCTTCTTCCTCCTCCTCCTCCTCCGCCTCCTCCTCCTCCTCCGCCTCCTCCTCCTCCTCCTCCTCCTCCTCCTCCTCCTCCTCCTCCTCCTCCTCCTCCTCCTCCTCCCCCCTCGAGCGTGCCCCTGCCCGGGCTGCGCCCTTCGCCTGCCCCGCTTCCCCCGGCTGCCACGCCCGCCCGCCCCCCCCCCGAGCAGGCAGATTCTCTGCACGAGCGACATCAAGGGCTCCCTCGAGGGCGCGAAGTTATTCGCGCTTCGCGCTTCGCGGTCCTCGTTCCTTCTCCCCCTCCTCCTCGTCCTCCTATTCTCCCTTTGGGAGGGCGGCGCGAGAGCGCGAAGTTATTCGCGCTTCGCGCCTCGCGCAGCGCGAAGCGCGAAGTTGGGAGCCCTAGGAAATGGGCACGGAAAGAATGGGTACAATGCACAACAGCAGTTCTTGTTCATTTTGAACAGGACTCGCTGTCCACGCCGCCGCGGCCCATGTCCATTCGAGACAGAAGGCCGCCTGCCCAACAGCGGCCGCTGTTGGTTTGGGACAACATTTGTTGTTGGGCATTGTACCCATTCTTTCCGTACCCATTTCGGGCGTCCGAATATTCTGGCTAAACCAACCTGACCACCCACCAAGCCACCCCAACCCAACCCAACCCGAAGGCCTCAATTTGTCCTCCATTTCCAGTGGGGGGGGGCGTTGGGGAAAATGGAACAAACACATGGGACCCCTACCCCCCCCAACCCGAAATTCGGGTCAAATTCGGGTCTTCGGGTTGGGTTGGGGTGGTCTGGTAGGTAGTCACAACCAGACCTTCCCAAACTGAACCGACTGGGCCTTCCAAAAAACCCGCCTGGGCCTGTCCAAAACGCGTACTTTCCCAAACCGGCCGATCATGCTTTCCCAAATTTTCAGGTCCCAACCGGGTCGACCAGGCCTTCCCAAACCGACCAGGCTTTCCAAAGTGACCGCCCGGGCCTCCCCGAACCGACTGGGCCTTCACGAACTAGCCGCGCGGGCCTTCCCAAACCGCTTTCGCTGTCTTCGTCGTCGTCCTGTTCGCACTCGTTGTCGCCGTTTACGTCGTCGGCGAAACTGCGGATGTTCTAGGGGATGGGTTCAACCCATCCATTACAACATCCAAGGGCGGAACTTGCATACAATTATTGTACAATCCATGGGATTGCACATTAATTCGATGCGCCCGATTCGACCCGCTGGTCAGCGTCCACCCGCCCGACCCGCCCGCCATGCAGCGCCCGCCCACCCGACACGACCCGACCGTCAGGGACCGCCCGCCCGACTCACCCGCACGCCCGACCTGCTGGTAAGTGTCCGCCCGCCCAAACCTGCAAGTTAGGGTCGTCGTCACCCTCGTCGTCGTCGTCGTCGTCGTCGTCGTCGTCGTCGTGCCGTCGTCGTTGTCGACCTCCTCGTCGTTTGCCTCGTCGTTGTACTCGTTGGAGTCGTCGTCGTCGTGGTCGTCGTCGTCGTCGTTGTCGTCGTCGTCTTCGTCGTCGTCGTCCTGGTCGTTGTTGTCGTCGGCGTCGTCATTCTCCTCGTGTTCGTCGTGACGTCGTCGTCGTCGTCGTCGCTGTCGTCACCGCCCTCCTGGAAGTCGGCGGGCTCGTGGGCTGCACGCTGCTTTAATGCCCCCCCCCGACTCTGTCTTCCCGCCCGTTACGGTCCGCCCGCCCAACCCGCTCCACTCGCGGTGGTCCGCCCGCCGGGCGCGACCCGCCTTGACAGGAACCGCCCGCCAGAACCGCCCGTTAGAGCCCGCCCTCCCGACCCCCCCCGCTCGACGCACCTGTTCGGGCCCGCCCACCCGTCCGGCCCAATGGGGTCGTCGTCGTCCTCATCGTCGTCGTCACTGTGGCCCTTCTTGTCGTCGTCCGTGTCGGTGTCCCCGTCGTCGGCGTTGTCGTCGTCGTCCTGGTCGTCTTCGTCGTCCTCGTTACTCTCGTCGTTGTCGTCGTCGTAACTAATCGTCGTCGTCCTCGCCGCCGTCGTCGTTGCCCCCCGCCGGTCAGGGTCGCCCGCCCGACCCGACCCGCCCGTCAGGGTCCGCCGCCCGACCCACCCGATCGGGCCCGCCCGTCTCGCCCGGCCGACTCGCCCGCTCGGGTCCGCCTGTCAGGGGCATCGAGCCCTAATCGCCCACGGATGGCCGATAGGGGTCTGATAGCCCCACCCCGCCCAGGACCGTACAGATTCACTACCGCGGGCCTGTCGCCGACGTTTCGGCGACGTCTCTACGATTCCAGGTCCGTATCTCCCTCTATCGTTGCTCCTCAGCTCGCCCAACTCGCCTGTTTGGGTGGTCGTCGCCTTCATCGTCATTGTCGTTGTCGCACTCCTAGTCGTTGCACTCGTTATCCTCGTTGCAGCGTGCAATGGACTCGGTGCGCAGGTGTTGGCTCCGTTTGGGCAGTTACCCCCCTTCCCTCCTGCTGTTCCTTTTCCCTCCTCTTTCCTCCTCTCTGGCCCTTGTTGGCTGGCATGCTGCCCGCTCGGCCTGCTACCAGTTGCGTTGTGCTCCTCTTCGGCCTGTTTGTTCATGGTGGAGTTTCCTTCCCGTGAGTTGGTAAGCCGGCAGTCTTCATCACCAGGGGCTCTATCATCAAAAAAGATCGGCGCCCTCGTCGCCGTCGTCGTCGCCCTCGTGGTCGTCGGCGGCGTCGTGGACGGCACGCCGTTTCAATGCCCCGCCCGACCCGCTCCGCACGCTTGGCCCGCCGGCACGTTGGGGTCCGTTCGGCCGACCCGACGCGCCCGTCAGGGCCCGTTCAGGAGGGGAAACAACACACGGACACAGTGAATCGGCGATCCCCAGGAAAATATGGGATAATATGGGAAGTGGGGGGGAAGACGAAAGCCCAGAATATATGGGGAAATATATGGGGAATCGTTTTATTTGCGTGTATGTATTTGTGTGTCCTGGGACCCCTTCGTCCGTGCCCGCCCGCCCGGCCGCCCGGCGGGCCCCGCCCGCCCTGCCCTGCCCGCGAGCCGTCGCCGCCAGCGCCGTGGCCCCAGTCGTCCTCTTTGGCGTCCTCGTCGTCGTCGGCGTCGCCATCGTCGTCCCTGTCCTTCTTATCGTCGTCGTCGTCGTCGTCGTCGTCGTCGTCGTCAATCTCGTCGTCCTCGTCGTCCTCGTCGCCGTCGTCGTTGCCCAGGGACGGGGGCGGATAGTGTGGGAGGAACGGGCCTTTCAAAACCGACCTCCAGGGGTTCCCCGAATTGAGCGGGCCTTCAAACCGACCAGGTCTTCCCAGACGGGCCTCCCTTGTCTTCTCAATCCAACTGGTCCTTCCACACCGGCCGCCCAGCCAGGCCTTCCCGAAGCGAACGGGCCTTCCCGAACCAACCAGGCCTGACCAAAGCGGCTGGGCCTTCCCAAACCGACCAATCCCAAACCGGGCCCCCAAAACCGGCCGTCCAGGTTTTGCCAAACCGACCAGACTGTCTCAACCCGCCCGGGTAAGGCCTACCCAAACCAGCCGGGCCTTCCCAAAGAGACCAGGCGTTCCCAAATTGATTGGTCTTTCCCAAACCGACCAGGCTTTCTCGATTCTGGCCGCCCGGGCTTTCCCAAAACCGATCAGGCCTTCCCAATCCGAAAAGGCTTCCGAAGACGGCCGCACGGGCCTTCCCAAACCGAAGCCGACCGCGCCTTCCCAAGCCGAGCGGGCCTTCCCAAACCGTGAGGGCGGCCGCCCTTACCGACACCCGGTTGGGCAAGTTCCGCTTGGCTTTCCTAAGCGCCCCTCTCCCCCCTCTCCCCGACGCCCCGCTCCATCCCGGCCGTCGAGGACATGTCTTGGACGTCGTTGGCCGTGGTCTTGGCCAACTTGTATATTTTCGCGCTGCTCGCGCGCCTGTACGAGGCGCTGGAGGGTCGAGCTTCGGGGTCGCCTCGTCGGGCAGGCAATGCAGGCATTGTCCGTGGGCTGCGCGGCAGGCAGAGGTCAGGGGCAACGATAGGGGGGGGTAGGCGCAGGGGGGGATGCCTCGACCCCCAATCGCCCATGGATCGCCGATTGGGGCCCGATTGCCCCAACCTGCCCAGGAAGCGTGAGGATTCACTATCAGGGTTATAATGGGCGGGGCCGCTAGACATTGGAAAGCCAGGAAACGGCCAGAATACCTGCCTGGGAACTCCTGGGGATCGTTTTGGAGGGGTGGCGCGGAGAACTCTTTTTAGATCGCGTCTGATAAAATCATAAGGGGGTTGAAATCGAAAAAAAAGCTATGTCAACAGGCATGGGGCCCTCTGCGAGGCCCATCCATATGCTCTTTCCATGCGTGCGTCGTAGGCTCACCCCCTGATATGAGCCCTTCCGAGGGTTCGGCGGACAGACGACACGCGCGCAGTAGTCGCAGCTGCGTCGTGTTTTTTGGGTTCGGTTCCGAGGCAAACCTCAGAGAGAGGAGGTGGAGGAGGGGGGAGATGGAGGTGGGGGAGGGGGAGGTAGGGGAGGAGGTGGAGGAGGGGGGAGATGGGGGACACCACGAGTACTTGCAGTAGGAATGAGAGGGCGGAGGAGGCGACGAGGAGGAACGGCCCCATTGGCAGTAGAAGGCCCAGTAGCAATATAAAGACATGTGGGGACAAGTGGGGGCGTGGCTAAAGGTCTGAGTGAAATTCGAGTTTGCCTCCCCCCCCCCGCGTCGGCCCCCGCCGTGGTCATCGCTATAGCGTCCCAGTCTCAATCGTAGCCGTTTGGCTTTTTTCTTTCGCAGCGATTCGATCCAGATGCCGCCGAAGGGCGGCCGAGGTGGCAAAGGCGCCGATGCAGACCGCATGGCGATCGTGCGAGCTGCCAGGAGACCGCCCGCGCAGCCGCGCATCGCGGCAGCAGCAGCAGGCAGTCTTCCACATGTGTCTCCTGGCGCGATGGCCCGCATAGAGGACGGCTCCAACATTGACGTACAGAGCCCCATGGTGCAATGGATGATCGACTCGTTGCCATATTTTCGGTCACATGTTTTCGGGGCCGTGGAGCCGAACGATGTCGCCGAGGGGCTGTTCGGTTCCGACGCGAGTTTCACTCGGAGCCCATTGTCAGCCATAGCAGAGTGGTCCCACACAAGCCGCAAGGCGTTGAGGACATCATGGAATAGACTAGCATGTGCGGGATGGTTGCTATCTCGTGCGATCAGAAAGGAAATAGCCACTTGCCTTCATCACCACCGATCTGTTGTGAAGACGGTTCAGGCCGTTGATTTCGTGATGTATGACGAGACGCCCTTGCACATTTCGATCCAGGACCGCGCTGGCAAACCAGCGCCACAGACCAGAGAACGGGCCGCCCTGGTGCCTCTCGGCCAGCCGCCACGGATGAAAACCACGACCACTACAAAGCTTCTGCAGACCAGGGGCCAATTTGGGTTTCTCTTGAAAGCTGGCGGGGAGCAGCCTGGGCACGCGAGGTACGCGTGCGTGGTTGGGGATGCGCACTTGCATTTACAGGCGTTGCACAGCACCCATGCCAGTACTATTGTGAGCTGCCTTTTAGAATCGAATGCGGCAAGCACTGTTGAGCATGAATCCGAGCACTTCACGCGGGTCGCCCAGACAGATTCACACCCGAGCAATTTTGCTGCCGAGCGTGCCTTGTCGACCATGCGTCCGAGAGAGTGCCCGCTGCTCCATCTTCGCTGCGAGGCCCATCTCAAAGCACTCGTGCACGCCTTTGCGACTACCCCTTTGGAGCACGTGGTTTCGGGCCTGGTACATGCGAGCTTATCGATGGGCACAGCTGGCGTTGCTGCTGATTTCCGCGACTGCCTGAGGGACGAGATCAAGGAGCGCCTGCAGTTTTATGCAGGGTACGCTGGGCACGATGCCGAACTGTATAGGCACGTCGCCATGAGAGTCCTGGTGCCAGAGGGGTCATCCAAGTCGAAAAGGAGGGCATTGCTGACTGTGCTGCCTAAACGGCGATTGGACCAACAGGGACGAGGTTCAGATCTTCATGCCACTTGCCCAACTTACGGCACTCAGCGACGAGGACAAAGCCGCGACGGCCGACGACATCGCCGAGGCTCTTGTCTCTTGTTTGCACCACAGGAAGCTGCGCGTCTACACTCGCTCTAGGTGGCTCGGACAAGAGGCAGCTATATGCGATGTGACTTTGCTGGAGACTGTGCACGGGCTGTTCGGCCCCGCATATAAGAGGTGGTCTCGCCAGCGTCGCGGGGGCGCAGATGCGGAGCAGGTTGGCGCTGGCCACGGCGGCGGCGCCGCTGCTGCAGACGAGGCTGATGGCGGCGCGCTGGTGCCGCTTCCCGACGGCGGCGCCCCCCCGCACGAGGCGGCCGCGGCGGCTCCGCAGGGCAGCGATGAAGGAGGCTTTCAAGGCTCAGAGTACGCAAGGAAGATGGCCGCGTCAAGGAAGAAGACCAACGATCTCATTGATGACCCCTTGCGCCCGATGCGCGCCCACCTGCTGATCCTGCGCATGGTGCTGGCGCCGCTTCAAGCGATGCAGCGGAAGCAGCTCACGCTCGCCAGCAAGAGGTGGGAGCTGCGGCAGCGTGCCCGCGCTGTCCGCGCCGCCGAGCGCGACGACGGCAGTTGTCTGACACGTGACTTTCGCATCTTGGTGGCTGCCAGGGGCAATGTCGAGGCGACGGCGCTGAACTCCCTGCGACACCTGATGCCTGAGCACGGCTTGTGGGTGCTACTCCGCTCCGACGGCTTGACGAATAGAACAAGAGCCACTGCGTTCTTGTCGTTGTCTCGGGCTGGTGCTAAGACGGACCGACTGCTAGCGCACCCGCGCAGGAGGATGCCGTTCTCTTTGTTCTTGATTCTGGAGCAGCCGCACTTGGCGCCGATGCTGGATGCGATGCCACGGTGCATGTGGGACAATTGGTCCATCGAGTTCGTGGGCGACAGCGACATTTCCTCCGACGAGTTCAAGTTCAGGCTTTTGGTGATTGCGGTGCTATGCTATACGGACTCCGTCCTCACGGAGGTGGGCCACTCGCAGGTGCGCAGGTTCGTCGAGACCAGAGTGCAGACGCACGCAGTGTCCCTGGGGGATTTATCGACGCAATGGCTCGCCCAATTGTTTCGGTATAGCAGCAGCGATGCAGGAGCCCGTGATGGCGCGCCGCCGCCAGCGGCGGAGCCGCGCAGGCGCCCTCGGTCTGGGGGCGCGTGGAGGGCCCGCTGCAGACAGCTCGGCATTTCCGACTTCCGGCGCGCGGGAGAGCTATACCGCGCCATCGACCCCACTTCAGAGGAGATGGCAGAGTTGAGGCGGCTCGGGGGCGAAGCCACCAAGCGAGGGCGTGAGGGGTATGCTGGAGGCACGGCATTCGGGCCCACCAGGCGGAGGATTCAATCCACCATTGCCCAGCGAAATGCAAGTGCAAGGCTCGCCCTACTTGACGCCAGAGACGGCGGCGACGCCAAGGAGGCAGTCGACAACCTCATGGAGGGCGCGGCCATGATCGGCATGACGATCTCAGAGTTGATCGACGCGGCCAACAGGTTGGACACAGCCATCTCGGCGACGCAGAGGCAGAGTGAGATCGACGACGCGCGTGCGGTGGAGGCATACGCCGCGGCGAACTCCGAGGCGCGCGTCGGCGAGCTCACGAGGTCCACCGGGAGCTTGGCGCACTATGCGAGCCACCTGAACGCGCTGCCGCCATGCCTGGGGGCGCGCATGATTCAGTGCAGTACTCAGTCCATCGCCAGGGCTGCTTGTCAGGCTGGCACCTGGCTTGATCAGAGCAAGCGCGGGCAGACGAACCTCGGCGCGGCTTTGGACGCGCAGTGGGATCGGCTGCACAGGCTGCACCGACCCAGCGCCCAGCTGAAGTCACTTGTGAAGGGCTTGGAGAAAGAGGTTAAGGACGAGAGCTCGTGCTGGAAAGAAGGCATATGTTTTTGCACGGCAGATGGGCGCAAGCTGTGGAAGTTCCGCAACCACGTCATAAAGGTGCTCAAGGCGTGCTTCCCCCTCAGGGGGCCTCAGTCAAGCTTGCGGCAGTTGCTGGCTGCCAGCAAGGTCGTGATGCGTTTGCGGCCCGATTTCGACGCCGAGGGCGACGGGGCAGATGACGAGCTTGCGTTGTTTTGGGGCGTCGAGGTCATGTACTTTCACCTGGCCGACGTGACGTTCAGCCCGTGGTCGTTCTGGGTGGATGTGCTCGTGGAGGCTGACGAGCGCGAGGTTCAGGCAGGGAACCCTAGCGGCGACGAGTTCGTCTTGAAGGCGCGGTGCAGTGAGTCACCGACCTTGCATTTTAGAGTCGCACGTTTCGGCCATCACCACGCGCGTAGTTTGCTCGGTCGGGGTCGGCCGACCAGGCAAATCATCGCCATGCAATTGCTGGGGGGAATTCATCGGCGCTTCGCGCGGCACCGCCAGCTTATCCAGAAATGGTGCGATGGCGAGTTAACGTCCTTACTTGGGGCTTCTGAGGGCTTTCTTCGGGCAGGAGCTGGGGCCCGCGCGGCCTGCTCGGGCTCCCTAGCGACCTCCCCTGGGGCCCCTTCGGGCCATCTTGGGGGGCGTGAATACAAAAAGGTGATTCAATTTCCACGCGCCCGCCCCCCCCCCCGCCCATTGCGGCGCACCCCGCCGCGCTTTTCACGGCCCCGCATGGATTCCGAAAGGCGTTGTTGGCAGCGTTTACGGGCGTGTACCCCGCCCATTATGGCGCGCCCTTCGCGCGTGTCGTGGCCCCATGGGGAGCTCCGCCTAAGCCACAGTGCCGATGTTCACATGCGCCTCCCCCGCAAATTATGGCGCACCCTTCGCGCGTGTCGTGGCCCCGCAGGGAGCCCCGCTCAAGGACTGGGGACGACGTTCACGCGCGTCTTATCCGCCCATGATGGCGTGCTCCTCACGCGTTTCGTTGCCTC